GTATTGTGTACGATGTGGCACCCGAACGCGAGGATTCCCACCGCACATCGACCGTCCCGAATTTCATCCACCTTTCCCTTCTCCAGTCTATTTGAAAACATAGGTGAGAAGTTCCAGTGGGCTTTTTAAGCTACAGGAGAACGAGAAGAAAACATACGTCAGAATGAGAAGAAAATGTGGAGGAAATATGGACTAGTGGCTTAGGTAATGGAGGTGGAAGAAGAAGAAAAAAATCTCAGGCGCTTTATGACTGCCGGCTAGAAGAAGGTGGTGTCAAACATGAGTATAAGCCATTATGAGCAGCCCGTTTGCTTTCTTTGTAATAACAAACATGCTTTGACATTCTAGTTTTCACATGGTTAGGAGACAACAGGGTGATGACCAAAGGCAACGCATAATTTTCTCATAGCTCTCCCTTGACAGACGTCCATCAGAGAGTATGGGCTAGCTGGGAAAATGATGAAGTTATTAATCTGTGTTTGAATACACTATTTGATCTGCAGTGCTCTTTGAGCTCAATAGTATTAGCATTGACACTAAAAATCACATCAACTTTGCTTGAACTCAAGTTGCACCTAAACATCTCTTTAGGTGATTTAATATCAAACACCACATCAACATGGCACAACTCTATAAACATAGAAGCAAAATCATGACTAACAGAAAGTGTAAGGATTTTTAAACAAGGTGGTTGCTTCTAATGGAGGTGAATTTTCTTAGGATTAACACCTATGACTTTTCAACGTGATTGATACATAATTTTTGTGGGCCAGGTTACAGACTCGGTTTCCTTTATCCAAAAGAATAAATCACCATTTGCAATATTTGGAGTGATTAGCATGGATAAAATCATTTTAACTTCTGTGAGTCCACAGAAGTGTCAGGAATTCATGTGGCTTATAGAAAAAATATGCCTTTATTTTCAAGAGTGAAAATAATTGTATTAATTTTTTTTTCTGAAAGCTCTGGTCACTATCTCATTTCATCCACAGAAGAAATATGGAAAGTGATACAAACTACCAAGATAAAATTAAGTGCTAGATTTGTTCTCCTCCTTGAGCTCAAGCTGAAAAAGGGATAAAACAAGGATTTCTTTATATTAGTGATACGTCATTGGTAAGAGATTTAAGAAGTTAGATATACTACAGGAGATAAGTCATCAATACATTCACAAATGTTACTTAAATGGATATAAAAAAGGGAGATTTCATTAAGTCACCTGTGCTGAGTAATAGTTTAAATTGATACTTGTAACTCAGGTATTCTCAGACGTTTTCTTTCAGTTAGAAAAACGATAAGGGTAATTGAGTGAAAGGCAGAAATTGTTACTTGGCTTAAAAAGGCCATCTGTAAAACCTTTCATCAATAATAATGTAGAGAAGAGTGCATTTTGGTTTGGGAAAAAGTCTAATTTGCCATTGGAAACAGAAAAAGATTATTAACATAGGCTGTAGCGTGACGTGGCAAAAACTGCCAAAAAGTTACGTCAACGTTTTTATGACATGTAGGAATCAGATTACAGGCTAAGAAGACTCGTTTTCTTAATCCCATATATTGCTTCGATACATACGAAAGGAGCAAGTTGCATCCATAAGAGGATATGATCAGAAGATTCGCATTTAAATCACTGATCAGAAAATTCACCTTTATTTATAAACACTGAAAAACACTGAAAAAATCAACACGTTGTTTATGACATATTTCATCCTGTGTTGGTTGTTTACTTATTTTTGATTACAGTCTGGTCTCAGCTATTCTAACTACTATCTTTATGCTAAGTAGCTGGATGCTTCACACCCTGATTACCTACTGCAGTCATAATAATCCTGTTTATTTAGAAATGTCTTTGCTGTCTGGCCTGGGCAAGGCCAGCTATTGATTCTTTTGAGGTAATAATCAACAGTTATTTGTTTATAGTCTTCATTTACAAAGTTCCCTGAAATGGGTATTATATTTTAACCCAGTTAGGAGCTGCTGAAAATGGATTTGGAATGGTATTGGTGCCAAATCTTAAAGAATAGTATTTATGGCATAATAAAATACTGGTTTTAACTTTTCAAAAGGAGTTGCAGTCTTTGAAAAGGCGATCCTGCTTGGCCGTGATGTCTGTCCCGTCCCTCCAGGAGTGTTCCTGTGCTGCTGGCCAGGGCTCTGCTTTCTGCTCAGGGAACACTGTGGCCCCACCAGCAAGAGACTGGGCTTCTGCATCGGCACCGCTCGCTCTCACCATGGCTTCCCACTCAGCTTAGGTGAACTTGACCTCTAAGGAACTGAAGTTTACAGTTGTACTTATCATCTTTTTAGAACAAGACACCCTTTTATTACTTAACCACAATATTTAGGCTCCGATAGAATGGAACAACAAAGCTTCTGTGGCTGTTGGTAACGTGTCTGTCTGTCTCTTTGGCCCTGAAACGTTGGGTTTCAGTGACAGGATGGAACTGGCAGTGCACGATAATCTCTCCCCTTCTTGCTACCTCAGGTTTTTGCCTCAGATTCTGATTGCGATCATTTTACACATTCAGTCTCCTCTGACTGAAGTGATCAGGAGTTAATGTTGGCTCATTAATTTCTGACTGAGTCTCCAAGGAAACCAGGTTCATGTGCTAACAGTTCTTGATATTTTTTCTTGCAACCCATAATCTTAGTCCTGTATTTCAGACAAACAAATCATCTTCTAAATTAGCATGGGTCACAATACAAGTATGACAATTAAAACTATACACATTTCCTATTTTTCCTCATTATCTAAGCCATGTTTGTTGATCTAAGAGAAATACAATATATCTATTTTATTCTCACTGGCTTTGTTGGAAAACAGATCTTCAGGCATATAGATCCTTCTGCAAGTCTGATAAAGCAGCAGCAGACTTTGTAAGAGCAAGTTTCTCTTTGTTTAAACTAATTACACTAATTCCTTGGGCAATTTAGAAGAAAAAAAGTATAGCAGCATTTTCAGAAGAGAGCTGTATTTGCAGGGGGAGAGAATGACAGATCTAAACCCCCAGGAAACAGATAAACGGAACAAAAGAGTAGGATGAGATGTGATTGCTCATTAAGATCAAAGTCTTCACCAAGCTATTGCCCTGCTGTTATCATTAAACTGTAATGGTCCTCACATACATAGGCCATCCTGATTTCACCATGCTGCCGCTAGTATTTTGTTACCAGGATCCTTTCGTAAATTTATTTGCAGTTAAGTCATATCTGAAAGCCAAGGCTGTGAGTCAAGACTAAATTTATTCAATGCCAGTTTGTATCCATTTCTTTTTGGCCAACACTGTCCTTTAACTTAACGAGCTCTTCTCACTCCCTAGTATTTAATCTGTGATGTATTTATAGGGATCTCTTCTCAACCTTCATTAGATAGTGCAAGCCAAGAACAGTTAGTCTCCTCTTGTTAGACAGTCACCAGTGCCCTCATCATTTTAATTCCCCTTTACTCATGATCCAGTCAAAACTCGACATCCTTAAGCAATGTTGGCCAGAAATGCACACAATATTCCAGATGAAGTCTCACAAGCCCTTTCTACAAGAAATACTTAGGTATTTTGGATACATTCTCACCTGCTGTGTTCTAGGATCCTGTTTGTCCTTTTGAAAGCTACATCACATCAGAAACTGCGGTGATTCTGCAGCTGAATAGCATGTGTGGGTCTTTCTCCTGTCCTGATGGTTTCCCACAGATGAGAGTCTGCTAATAACAGAAACACTAACGTGCCACCAGGCGGATGATCTTTCATTCTGCACTGTTGAATTTCCTCTAGTCACATGAGCAATTCCTTCTCTAATCTTCAAAAGTTTCCCATATGATGTTTCAAAAATCTTCTTAAGGGTCAAAATGCTGCTCAGCTCTGAGTCATTAGTGAAAATCAGTAACGCCCTGAGTGCCAGTGTAATTAACGAAAATATTGAAGTCAGTCCCAGGATGGATCTTTGAAGAACTCCACTATTAAGTTTCTTTCAGTGTAACAATTCCTTTAAATTATCTTCAGTAGTCTCTCCCCTAGGCAGGCCCATCGCCACCTTTTATTTCATGTGCTAACCCCTGTCTTCACTGGTTTGGTAATTCCTCGTACTATGCAATGTCAGAAGCTTTACTGAGATACAGCAAGAGTAGATACACTAAATTTCCTATCATAACTTTATATCAGACTCAGACAGAAGTGCACAAAAACCTCTTGTCAGTTGAAGGGCCCAGGTCTGATATAGTAACCTGATAATATCTGGGATTCTCACTCTGAATTACTAATCAAGTAATGGTTAATTTTCAAAAAACTGAGCTTGCATATAAATCACAACTTTAATAATGTTTACATTTGCATGTATAGATAATATCACTTGTACAACTATTACTTCTTTTTACCAGTTGTAATGTTTCTGTTACACTTGAATAAGTACTGAAACTCTCAAACTGTTAAAATGTTATTATAAAATTTCTATAGATACTCACTCAAAGCATCAGGAATGCTACTTTGCATTTCAGGCTAACTAAATTGAGTTAAGATTCCGTTGTGATTGGAATTCATGGTATAAATTGACTAACTGGAGTGTAGCTGTTCTTGACCTGTTTGGTCAGGCATTGGAACAGGCTGCCCAAGGAGGTGGTGGAGTCCCTGTCCCTGGAGGTGTTCAAAAAACGTGTAGATGTGGCACTTCAAGATGTGGTTTAGTAGGAATGGTGGTGTTGGGTGGATGGTTGGACTCAATGGTCTTAGAGGTCTTTTCCAACCTATAATTCTATGATTCTGACTTCTTCCAGTGAAAATGACTTCAGATTTGGGCTCAGTGTTACAAATGCTCTTTTAAATGATCTCTTGCTATATTAGAACTTTGGAAATGTCAAATCAGAAAAATAATTCCATATTGTAGATTTAGGTATGGAAAACTAGGTTAGGAAAGGTTTAATTATTTACACATATGAGTAGGACATCAGGCAGGATGGATTGATGTAATCCCTCCTCTCTAATGTCTCTACCTATGTTATTTTTTCTCGTTAGACAGTGGAGTTAAATAGCTGTGATCTGACCTTGCCGCATGCTACACGGACGGAAACAGAGCAGGTTTTTAACTGTGATGAGGTAAGTTCTCTCCCTGTATTTCATCAGGGCTAGGGCAGGACTTGCTGAGCTGGTTGTGTAGCATGTAACCACAGCCCTTTCCCACAGGACGGACTCGGCAGTGGAAAAACAAAGCCGGTTAATGTAATTATGTGCTATTCCGTGACTCTCCAAACATGGACGATGAAATGTGGTTTTCTGCAACACTCACCTCTCCGTGTGAAGTGACGATTCCTCCTTTTGCTGCTTACTGATGGTAGAAAGGTGGGGAAAGGTGTGCGTTGCAAGGTTGTGGGGGATAGAGGGGACGGCACTTCCCGTTGAATCACCCTGTTTCCAAAGCTTTTCCGTTGCCAGGCCATACATGGAGGTGCTGGCTACTTGCTATCTCATCGGAGTATTTTTTCACTTCAAGAATAAGCAGTATTGCACCTTCTTTTCTACCACAGTTATTTTATGCTTGCAGCTTTTATCAAGATTAATGTATTAATAATATTTCCTATAATTGTGAGTGGCAATTTCCTGCTTCTGGTATTTCTGTATTGCCCACTTCCCCTACCTCCTTCACAGCTTGTCCTGTTCTGACCCTGTTCTGCTCTTGGTATTAGCCAAAATACCTACTTCCCTCTACCCTAAATTACTTGTTAACTATCACGAAAGGGAGTGAAGGTGACTATTTGCTATAACTGATAACAAAACATTGGAAACACTTTTATATGTTGTGGGGTTTATTAAAACAAAGAAGATGACGCTTTCTGAATGTCATACACATTATAAAGCTTGTTTACATCACATTATTAGCACTAGATGTTTTTTTCAGTGGAAACAGCATTGGAGATCCCTTTTTTTCTGGTAGCATCTTAAGGCTCTATGCACAATGACCACCACAAATGCCATCTACACTTCTGAGTAGAAATGAGAGACCTGACCTGCGTCATTGCTCGCATTTAGAGACTCACTTAGCAAGTGGGATACCACCCGGGACCTTGAGATATGAGCAAATGTCTATATTTATCACCAACAGCCCTTTTTCCACAAACTCTTGCCGCATGATGTCATAGTGTGGGTTACTTCTCTAATGATTAGTGCACCCATACAATAAATAAGGTTTTAGTAAGATTTTAACAGGACAGTATAGCAGAAGCTGAACAAATTGTGAGGCAAATCTCTCCAAGACACAGCCCTTGTTTTGTGCAGTGTATTCACCCCTGAGAATTAAGTGTGCATACACTTCCTCTGCTTTTTATGTTAGTAGTACATTTAGGGTTGAACAAAGTAGGTAGTCTAGTTAATACCAACGCTTAAGCCACCACAAAGCAGCATCAGGAGAAGAAAAAGGAGACTGGGAGTGGGAAAGAGCAGAACTGGTTCTTTTGGCAGTGCTGATAGCTTGTGACATCTTTACAGGTTCATTCACTATACTCCAAATAAGTTACCTGTAACTTGGTAACTTCATGAAAGGAATGATATGATATGATCACCTGTAGGCAACAGAGGATAAAACTGATGATTCAGAAAGTTCCTTCTAGTTCCAGCTTATATGTATTTCTTCCCTGTACTGGAAAACCCTTGATATATACTTCTATTTTCTATTAATTTTTAAATTTTGTCCTTGATATACCACTTGAAATTATTAATAAATATTAAACATTTAATTTTCCAATTACGTACAAAGAGCTATTAATTAATCAAATACTTCAGCCAGAAATATCTTTGGCTGAAGGGCTGTTACGTTGGCATAAAAAAAAAAGCAGTGGAAATGCTTATTCAGTGTCATTCAATACATCATTTAAGCTAACTTCTCCTCCCTTCTTCACTAACAAATGTTCCTGGTGATGTAATTAATTTGTTCCTTCTGTGTCAATCCTGTATCTACTACACATTAAAGTTGAAAGTCGTTCCACTCTCAGGCATCTAGCCTTACGTCAGTGAATACCACTGTAGCCCCACAGCTCTTTTTGTGATCGTGGTTTGCCTTTTGAACAATCTACACAATTCCTGGAATGTGCAGCGTAACCAGCGATAACAGTCACGTCAGGAAAAACTTTAACCACAGCAGATGTTTACACTTTATTACTACAGAGATTGTTTTGAGATCTATTCTGTATTAGCAAAGGACTGTACATTACCCTATAATGAGTGAACCAGAACCCCAGGATTGTTAATCTACGAAGACATTGAAAAGCATCTCCACACTGTGTTCTTGCTTTCTAAACCCCTCTAGTGCCTGTGAGGCCACAGCGTGCAGGCAAAGTGACAGATGCGGCAAAAGCAGGAATATTCTGGAAGAAATCAATCTATGTCGTGTTTTGTCTAGGCCACACGAAAGCAACGTTTCATTTTTCCCTGGAATGGACAGCAGCTCTACATGCAGCTCAGAGAAACAGCAAAACCCCATCTTCTGGTAGCAAAAGGCACAACCATGGGCGCTCATCTTTTATAGATACACTTGCATTGAAGACATTCAAATTCTTCATCCAAATTTCTTTGTCACAAGAACTGTTTTCATAGCACTTCATCATTCCTCTCTGAAGCAGACCATAGTTTAGGACGTTATTGCTAAAACCAGATATCAGACATCTAAGAAAGCGACCTTTTAGGTTACGTGCTGATTTCTAGTAACTCCTAGTATGAAAGCTGAAAACTAGCCATGAAATGCTTGTGCTGCAGCGGTTCAATGGGATTTTGTCATTGATCATCCAGAGAGACTGGATTCCACCCAGGCCAAGCAAGTGTGACTGACTGGGTGCTCAGTTATGGAAAATGTTGGTTACATTACATTGTCAGTATTTAATAACAACTCAGGTAAAACACACCAAGGTGAGCTTCTCTTTCCATTTACTTCACATGGGAGGTAATACATATGTTAAAAGTAGCATACTATTAACACTAAGACAGTGGTATAAATGTTTGTTGTGTCTCTCAGTTACCTAGTAACAGACTTTGATGGCACTTTAACCTTATTAGCACACTTATTATGTGCATTTTAACTGAAAATATAGGAAAGACCTTGTATCTGTTCATAAATGAAAACAGAATAAAAGAACAACCTATCTGCTACCATTACCAAAAACTGCTGGCACGTTTAGCATGTATTTCAGGATACTCCTTGGATTTTTGTTCAAACAAGTTTTGTTGTCCAGAATATACTATAGCAGAGCATCAGCATACTAACACAATGGTAATTTGGGTATACATAATAAATCTGTTTCTTTCCTCAAATGAAGCACCACAAACGTTGCACCTCATTGTAACTAACAGAATTAAATAGCTGCCCATCCGTTAATGTACCACTGTTACAAATAACCTATGGTTTTGGAGAGGCAGAACAGTCATTAGCCGGAGTTTCTCTAATATCCTAGAAGAAAGAAAATTGCAGTATCAAGTATTCAAAATGTAGCACTCACTTATGACAGAAGTGCTCTTATTCTGCTGGATCCACTTATTATTCTCTAACAGAAAGAGCTGCCTCTCTCTCTCTCTGTTACCAGACTAAGACTTTAAGCTCACCATCGTGTAGTCAGCTCTGGCATTTACTGGTGGACAGAGCAATTCACTACGCAAAACCTAAGAGATACCTTTTTTAAACTAAAAATGTTTAGTTTAAACCTTTAGTTTAACCTAAGGGCTGGTGAGCACGAAGCAATGTACATCTTTATTATACAAACCCACAAATGAACAGCTACTGGCACACTTAAAACCCCCTAGGCGGGGGCAACTTCCAGTGATTTTACATTAAATCACCTATGAATATACTAGAACACATTTTAACTTGGAAATACACCTTGTCAAGTTTTGACTAAGAAGTAAAACTAAACAGAAATCTCTCCTTTGCTCCAAGCCTTCATTTCAAGGAGGAAAGATTCCAGTTTACCACCATTTGATCAATAGACATTCCTCTCTAAGCAATGATTAGTTCAGAAATAAAGACTTGCTGACTGATCTCACAAGCTATATTTAAAGCAAAGTTCTGAACATTCTGAAATGCACGAGTCACTCTGTAATTTCAGAGCAGTTGTAACACCTTATCCCCCTGTAACAGCCTGCCAGAAATGCTCCTGGCTAATGCCCATCACCATTTGTTCTAAAGATATCAACTTTCTGGCTCTAGCAGATAAGTCAGAGCATTTGGGTGTCGAGTCATATCTGATATGGCTCTTGCATTTCAACTTCGGAGGCAATAATTTCGGAAATATATCGACTTTGTGAATTTTTATCGAGAGGTTCTCAGTAATGCAAGGAATTAGCTACCATGTTTTATCCAAAACAAAAAAGTGAGGTGGATGTGAAAACTGTTCCCTTAAACATCCAGTTTTCAGCACCAAGGATTTCAGCATTTTTCCTTCAACATGCAAGTTAGCCAAGGAGATCAGAACATATTTGCTATATAAAGAGAATGGAATTCCGTATTGTGTTGCCGATAGCCCTGGAATCAGCTGCAGAGACTGAAGATAGGAAATAGTTCCCTGGACATGGATCCAAAAGACAACAAAGGGTCCAAAGAAACAATTATTTTTGACATTGCAGTCTGTTGCACGTGATCCTCTTAGTTACATATTTTTAATTAGCGTGTAAATGGAACATGGAAAAATTTTTCAGAATAGCCAAATACAAGTTTTTTGTTGGTTGTTTGGTTTTTTAAAGTTCTGCAATCTGCTTGCATAATTAAGACTTTTCCAAAGATATCTGAGACTATGGGATGGAATCCAGAAAATTGTTTAAATATCACTTTGAAATTATGTATATCAATACCTTTTTTTTCCCATTTTGGTAGGAATAAATAAATGTGTCAACATTTGATCACAGTGTAAACTGGTGTCTCTAGGTCAGCATGCCTGTCATAACATAATCAAATCCAGTATGTACAGATAGCGTCATCGTTCGTGGACAAAGGGTTAGATATGACTTTATTTATACCACAGCTAAGGCTAAAAGACATGACTTAATTTGAAGACACTGCAGGCATTAATAAACCAATTATCAATGATCCTTGAGACCTGTATTTTAGATCTGGTCTCTCCTGTTATTACGTGATGATTGATATAATACTTTTTATGTATGCATGCACTACATTTTCCAAAGTAGGATTACAGGTGGACAAATAGCAGATTGTGCCAGTGACTGTCAGAAAACTAATGAATGAATATTATTCCTACCCCAGCTGCAAATTATGAATCATGTCACTGATTATACGTAGGCAGAAGCATCACTACTTTTCAACAATAACATGGATACAACGTAGCACCAGTCTACCGCAGGCAGAACATCTCCAGTCATTTACACTTGATGGTCAAGCCCAAAAACCAAACTGGCCAACTGTCTCAGGAGAAATTGCTTTCGCCGCCTCCCGTGGCACTTCCCAGGTCCCTTCCCGAGAACGCCCAGCGCAGCGCTCCCCGCTTCGGAGTTCCCTCAGCCCTTCCCGCTACCACGCCGTTCCACCGCCAGCACCCAGCCCAGCGCCGCAG